TTGAGGCGCCATCGTTCTGCCGCGCTGGGGCGCGCGTTGGGCCACGAGGCCGTACGTCTGTGACCGTTTTGGCCATTCATCAGCGCGTCGGGGGCCGTAATAAGGCCGTTCATTAGTATTAACGGGCCAGTGATGGCGTCTGCGGCGCTTGTCGTCCACCCGCGCAAAATTCGCGGTAATTGTTTCGTGACTTCGCGGCACGCAGCCGCTTCAGGCGGTGAGAAAGTTTATCTCAGGGACATCCGAGAGACTACAGGAAGAAATTAATCGCTGCAGTCGAGGAGCCAGCCGCGGGTGGATATGCTTGCCCCCAACGGTCGCACCAGCGCCACCCTAAGGCAGTCAAAAGGCCGGCATGTCCAGGCTGCCGCATAACATTTGTACATGTCTGCCCCAACGGTCGCACCAGCGCAGCCCTAGGTCAGTTAACTAGCCGGCATGTCCAGGCTATCGAAAAATTCGTTGATATACCGGCCCCGACGGTCGCGCCAGCGCTGCAACAAGGCAGTTAATAGGCCGGCATGTTCAGGCGGTCGAAACATTTGCTCATGCCTGCGAGAAAACGTACGAGGTCTCGGCCGTGCCCGGCCGAATCGTCCGAAAACTGCGGGCATGTGATTTGCATTCGTCACTGACGGCCTAACCTGATTGCGGAGGTGCCTGCGCCGAACGAAACACAGCTCATATGTGACCTTATGATGAGTTTAGGACTTCTTAGTCCCCGGTCACGCTGATGCGCCGCCTTCGTCTTCCTCCGTCTCCGAGGCGTCGCTATAGGCAGGTCACCCCGCCCTCGGGTCCATCATTGATCCTTGACTGTGATTAATCTAATCCTTATCTATGATGATTTCTTCACTTTAGTTAAGTTATTGTTGAGCTCAACTATTCTTTTCATTTCGTCACAGTTTAGGTTATGTCAACCCCCCCCCCCTCCACGGCACACCTGACCCCACGGCACACCTGACCCCACGGCACAGCTGGCCTACGGCACACCTGACCCCACGGCACAGCTGGCCTACGGCACAGCTGGCCCCACGGCACACCGGACCCACACGGCACAGCTGACCCCACGGCACAGCTGGCCTACGGCACAGCTGGCCCCACGGCACACCGGACCCACACGGCACAGCTGACCCCACGGCACAGCTGGCCTACGGCACAGCTGGCCCCACGGCACACCGGACCCACACGGCACAGCTGACCCCACGGCACAGCTGGCCTACGGCACAGCTGGCCCCACGGCACACCGGACCCACACGGCACAGCTGACCCCACGGCACACCTGACCCCACGACACACCTGACCCCACGGCACAGCTGGCCTACGCCACAGCTGGCCCCACGGCACACCGGACCCACACGGCACAGCTGGCCCCACGGCACACCTGACCCCACGGCAATCCTGACCCCACGGCACAGCTGGCCCCATGGCCCAGCTGGCCCCACGGCACACCTGACTCCACGGCAAACCGGACCCCACGGCACAGCTGGCCCCACGGCACAGCTGGCCCCACGGCACAGCTGACCCCACGGCACAGCTGGCCCCACGGCACAGCTGGCCCCACGGCACAGCTGGAGAAAGCTTCTCCCCATACACATTTTTCCCGAAACTGCACGAAGGATGGACGTTCTCTTCAAGTGCATCGCAGCTTATCGATTGTGATCGACTTTCAAAGCACGCGTACTTGAAATATTGTTCATTTCATAACGACATTCTTCAGTAAAATCATCGATACTTTGTGCAGTTATTGCAAGCTTCAGAGCCGCAGCGCAGACACGGCGACCTGTGCCAGGAATTTCCTGCACATTCCAGCGCGCGCCGCCGGCAGCGACTGCGAGGGTGCCAGCGTCAGAGTGTGTTGAGTTAGCGTGTGTTGAGTTAGCGCGTGTGTTGAGTTAGCGTGTGTGTTGAGTTAGCGAGTGTGTTGAGTTAGCGTGTGTGTTGAGTTAGCGTGTGTGTTGAGTTAGCGTGTGTTGAGTTAGCGTGTGTTGAGTTAGCGTGTGTGTTGAGTTAGCGTGTGTTGAGTTGTGCTAGCTCAACTGCTGGGCCTACGCAGCCTTCGAGCCCCGTGAGGCGGGGAGGGGGAAAGAGGGAAGGAGGATGGATGGGGGAAGAGAGGGATGGGGAAGGAAGTGGTGAGGTAGTCAGAGGGGAATAGAGAGGAATGAGAAGGGGGGAGATGGGGTGGAGAGTGAATATGGGAGTAGAAGAGGAATGGAAATTTGACGGAAAACACAAAAAAGAAGAGGAGTGCGGGTTCGGGGGTGACGAGGGGAGGGCAGAGGGACATGGAAGACAACGAGGGAAAACATGACGATAACAACAACGTAACGAAGCAGCGGTGACGGTGGACCTGCGGTAACACACTGTAATGTACAACAAGAGACATCACACAGCACAGCATTACACAGCAGAGCATAGCATCACACATCACAGCACAGCCTCACACAGCACAGCATCACACAGCACAGCATCACATCACACGGCACAGCACAGCACCGTCCCTCACAATACGGCGGTGGCCGCCGCAACGCAGCGCCGTTGTAGCGAGGGAAGGCCCCTCTCCCCTCCCTCACCCCCGCGCCCCTCGCGCTAAAATATACCCCCGCTAACTATACGGCCCCCCTCCCTGTATACCGCACCGTATATTGAGAATATACAAAATATCATTAATACGCCGTTAGAAGACGTATTGTACGGGATGATAGAAAATATCATTCATTCCATCAAATTAACCAACGCCACGAACGCCTGCACACGAAAGAGCTTCGTTGTGAACTCAAATTAAAAAAATTGCTTCGTTGAAAACTAAAATTAGAATTCAACCAAAAAATTTACTTCAAGAATAAAATTAATTCAAGAAAACTCCTGACGAACATCGAGCGCATGGCGAGGCACGGGCCACGAAACGGGGACTAAAACACGACGTTGAAAAGCGAATATTTAGCGTCCCACTCGCTTCTTTAGCGTCCCACTCGCTTCTTCAGCGTCCCACTCGCTTCTTTAGCGTCCCACTCGCTTCTTTAGCGTCCCACTCGCTTCTTTAGCATTATACTCGCTTCCACGTTTATTTGGGTAAAATTTATATGAGTAACGGAAGAGGGAGTGAGGGTAGAAGTGGGGTGAGGGAAGGAAGGGCGAGTGAGGGAAGAAAGAGGAGGGAGTGAGGGAATAAAGAGGGTGTGAGGGAAGAAAAAGGGAGTGAGTGAAGAGGTAGCGAGTGAGGGAAGAAAGAGGGAGTGAGGGAAGGAGTGAGGGAAGAGGTAGCGAGTGAGGGAAGAAAGAAAAAGTGAAGGAAGAAAGAGAGAGTGATGGAAGAGAAAAATATTGAAGTAAAAATAGAAAAAAAATCAAAATTGGAGGAGTGTAAAAAAGGAGTACGCGAACAGATGTGCGTTTGCGTAACGTGGGCACGTGTGCGTAACATGGTAGCGTGTGCGTAATATGGTCGTGTATGCATGCCTCAATACGCACACATTCCCCAGCGTACACTCGTCGTGGGCGTACGTGTGTGTCCCTCTACACATAAAATACAGCGTCTACACAACACACGCGCTCAATGCTACACCTCACATGTATACCTCTACACACTTCGCACGTCGGGGTATGTGCGTAAGCGGGCGTGCGTAATATTTATGAATATTACGCACGAAATATTGCTGTGTGCAGCAATATTCATGAGTACGCACATGCATGTTCATGTTAGGGAAATATTAGCCAATAGACATGAATGCGTGTGTGCGTGTTAATACGCATTTACACGCACATTGTGGAAGCGGATGGCGGTTCACAACGCTCATGTGGCCAGTGGCCACGAGACCAGAGGGAAATTTCGCCTTTTTTAAACTTTAATTTTCCATTAACGTGCGCTTGTTTCTAAAAATTATTACACGCAAAAATATATTAAAATATAGACATACATGTGTGAGGCAAGCAGCCATTGTGACTAAAAAAATATACGAAATTGGCAATACGCACACGTGTACGTGTGGCAAGTGCGACTGTGCGCGTCGGTGCTGTGGCGGGACCCGGGCCAGTCCTGGCGCGGCACCTCGTCCCGGCCCACCGCGCTACAGCGGCACCTCGCTACAGCGGCGACCCCGATATAGCGGCCCCCCGCGGCATCGGCAACCCCGTTAGAGCGACCGCTGCGCTACAGCGGGACCTGCACCGCGGCCCTCGCCGCGCTACAGCGGCCACCGCGCGGAGGGCCGCCCCTCGCCACACCCCCGCCCCCCGCCAGGCTCTACTTGCCCCCGCCGCTTCGTCCCTTCTCGAGCTTCCCTTCGGCTGTCCCTTGCATTGTCGCTTTTCGCTTGTTTCTTTTCTCTAGTTTCTGGAGTTGTTCACACCTTGGTTGTCCACACTGTTGTCATTTCTCGGCTGTTGCTCGTGTTATTTTATTCCAATTCTCGATCTTTAGACCGAATTCCAGCTGAAGTATCGACTGCAGCTCCTACGCTCCATTCTCTAGTTCCTAGAGATGCCAGGTCCTTCAGCTTTCGCCTTATATCTTCTCTCTTCGTCTGTTCGTTACTTTTCCGTACCTCCTAACTCTCCAAGCGCTTTCTTGTAATAACCCTTTTGTACATTTTCTGTTTATGTTTATGTTCTCTGTTCTCCCTTTCTTACTCTCCTTCCACTGTCTTCTCCCCTCACCCCAACATCTCCCCTCACCCCAACATCTCCCCTCACCCCAACATCTCCCCTCACCCCAACATCTCCCCTCACCCCAACATCTCCCCTCACTCTCCTCACGGAAGGGGAAGCTCTTCCCTCGTTGCCCTCACACGCACACGATCCTCCGTGCAGAGCAACTGCTCTGACAGCAGCTGCTCTGACAGCGGCTGCTCTGACAGCAGCTGCTCTGACAGCGGCTGCTCTGACAGCGGCTGCTCTGACAGCGGCTGCTCTGACAGCAGCTGCTCTGACAGCGGCTGCTCTGACAGCGGCTGCTCTGACAGCAGCTGCTCTGACAGCGGTTGCTCTGACAGCGGTTGCTACAGCGGCTGCTCTGACAGAGGCTGCTCTGACAGCAGCTGCTCTGACAGCGGCTGCTCTGACAGAGGCTGCTCTGACAGCAGCTGCTCTGACAGCAGCTGCTCTGACAGCGGCTGCTCTGACAGCGGCTGCTCTGACAGCAGCTGCTCTGACAGCGGTTGCTCTGACAGCGGTTGCTCTGACAGCGGTTGCTCTGACAGCGGCTGCTCTGACAGCGGTTGCTCTGACAGCGGTTGCTCTGACAGCGGCTGCTCTGACAGCGGCTGCTCTGACAGCGGCTGCTCTGACAGCGGTTGCTCTGACAGCGGTTGCTCTGACAGCGGTTGCTCTGACAGCGGTTGTTCTGACAGCGGTTGCTCTGACAGCGGCTGCTCTGACAGCGGCCGCTCTGACAGCGGCTGCTCTGACAGCAGCTGCTCTAACAGCGGTTGCTCTAACAGCGGTTGCTCTAACAGCGGCTGCTCTGACAGCGGCTGCTCTGACAGCAGCTGCTCTGACAGCGGCTGCTCTAACAGCGGTTGCTCTGACAGCGGCTGCTCTGACAGCGGCTGCTCTAACAGCGGTTGCTCTGACAGCGGCTGCTCTGACAGCAGCAGAGCAACAAACGCTGAGTTGCAGCACCACAGCGCCACGCCGCCCCAACCAGCAAACATTTCTTGATTAATAATTGGGGAATGATTATCAATAAGAGAATAAGGTAATAATTAAAAATAAAGTAATAATTCAAGGAATAATTAGAAATAAAGTAATAATTAAAGAAATAAATAAAAATAAAGTACTAATTAAAGGAATAATTAAAAATAAAGTAATAATTAAAGGAATAATTAGAAATAAAGTAATAATTAATGAAATAATCAACAATAAAGTAATAATTAGAGGAAATTGTCTCTTTCTAAAGGGACAATTTCTTTCGTAATTCTAATTATCCCTTTTTTAGCGAATAATTTGTGTGCTGCAGTAGTGGCGGGCCCCGCGACGCATGTGTTGTGTGCTGATGTGTAATGTGCAGGAGCACATTAAACATTGCTTACACATGTTCCACCGATGATAAGAAATGTAGCGTATCAGCTGCTATGGACCTAAAATGATAAAGATATAAGATTATATATTATTATCAATTTCGTACGCGCCAACACATTCTTTGTACCGTCCTGCGCTCAAGAAAGCGCGATGATAAGAGCTATCAGTGCACTGATAACAGCTCCGGCCCTTCCGGTGTGAATTCTGAGTATTTGATGATAATGAACACATGCTTAGCGATGATGATGGTGATGATGGTGATACTAAAGAAGAGCTTGGTGATGATACCAAGCACACGCACGATTGTGACTTGTATCGCACGCACACTATTGTGTCATTTGCCCGAATCAAACAGAATCAGGATGTCCCGCAAACCTGCAGCGATATTTGGACAAAATCTAGCTCATTTGTCTGAGTGTATGTTGCTGCATTTCATACGTGACGTCGTTATTTCAAAACTTCCTAACTTGAAAAGAAATTTTCAGCGTAGAAAATTTCGTAAAACAAAAACAATTTCACAAATTACTATCAATTTTATAAAGCGAAGTTTTCGCAGAACAAAAATAATTTCACAAAGCTAGAACATTGCGCAAAGTTTATGAAATTTCGCGCGAAGTAAAAAAATTATGTGTAGAAACTTCTGGCGAAGTAAAAAAAAAACGCATATAAACATATTCCACAAATTGAAAGAAATCTCGTAAAAAAATGATCGATAAAAAAATCAGAAAATATCTGAAAAAATCCTTAATTTCGATAAAGAAATTCGACAAAGGCGAGAACTGCGATGTTACGGAAATGTTGCAGCGCATCACATCACCACACCGGCCACGTGATGGCATCACACTACCAATTTTTTGTGATGCACTAAAATTGACATAAAAATAACTGGCGAGATTAAAGCGCACCACAAATTAAATACCGTGCAGTGTCGCGGGAGGGGTTGTGATGTAGGGGGTTGAGTTGTGATGTGGGGGGGGGTGAGGTTGTGATGTGGGGTTTGGGGTTGTGATGTGCGGTTTGGGGTTGTGATGTGGGGGGTGGGGGGTCACAACAAAACAGGGCGCTGCACCAAACGTCTAATCTAAATTTATGTCCGCAAAAAACTCGCCATTATTTGAACGCAGAGAAAAGAAGAACTCCCCTCACGCCGAGGAGAGGCGAGGGGAGTAAGGGGAGTGAGGGGAGGCCAGGGTAGTGAGGGGAGGCGAGGGGAGTGAGGGGAGTCGAGGGGAGTGAGGAGAGCCGAAGGAAGTGAGGGGAGACGAGGTCTCTTATACACATCTAGATGTGTATAAGAGACAGGTTCTAAACAACTCAAGCAGCTCATTATTTCTATTGATGAGTCCGATTGATTCACTAACTAAGCCCTCTTATGATTCAATCAATTTGAAATCAGGTTCGAGAGCATTTTTTCCAGTTCCAAATCGTTCATAAATATTAGCAGATATATATTCACGAACGATTTGCAGATATTATATCACCACAATATTAACAGATATTTATCACCACAATCTTTCGATTAAGCTCATCTAGTTAATTCTTCTCATGGATCTTATGCCCTTAAGTCAAGGTTATGGAATCCTCTTCCATAGTCACGCTGATGCGCCGCCTTCGTCGGCGGCCGTCGTCATGGACGTGATGAGATTTTAATTAAAATTTTTAAATTTTATGGGCAGCAGTTACTTGTCCAATTCTGTTACACTAAATTTTGTTTTTCAGTTTTGATAAACTTTCTACTTTTTTCCTGTTACTGAACAATCAAAATGTCAATCGATACTTGAAGGTGTACCTAAAATTTTAAATAATTCACTCTTCTTGAAATTATAACCAGATCTAAAATTACTTTATCGTTTGAATCGAAAAATTTAAGTTATTCCCGGTATTTAAATTATTATTGCAATTTTTACTATTTCAACCTTGTAACATAAGTAGCTTAAAAATTTTTGCTTTGAACTTTTTTACTTGATTCAATGAAACTCTATACGCAAATTAATTTCTTTTATTATGAAACTATTTGATTATTGAAAACTTTAGTGGAAGCTTGCCATTAATTCTAATATATTTATTTACTGCATGTCATTTATCTATACCAAGTTTGTTACCTCCAATAATGCGCTGGAAACATAAAATACTTTTTTTATTTTGTTTGAAGTTATTACCATAAAATGAGACCATTTCGAAGCATTCTGTCTCAGCGCTCAAGAGTGCGTTAATTGGCGTGTTCAAATGTAGCAATAGTCATGCATTTATGAATTCTTCATGTATGTATATGAAGCATTCATATTAATGTCTATTAATGCTTCGTATATGCCCATGAAATGTAGCTTTTTGCACATATTCATGCGATGCAGCTTCAAGTATATGGCCGTAAAATGTATCCCATGTACAAGTATTGGCCGTGAAACAAAAGACGAGACGAACATCTCTCATTTTATTAGCATAACGAGACCCTCGCGTGCTCACCCAACCGCAGTGACAATTATCAGTTAGTGGCTATCGGCGTCTTAAACAAAACTCTAACATAAAAATATTATAGCCTGTTAATTTTTAGTAAATTTTATTTTATAAAAGTCAATTTAATGTTAGCAATTAACTCTCTGATGCATGAGTTAATTGTTAACGTTAAATTGTGCAACAAAAAAAAAAAATTTTCCCAATGACGATTCACGTATAATAAATTATAGCCCCGGAGACCACACACCATGAGAAAAAGAGCCATTGCAATAATTAGTCACGTAACGAAAAATATTTTTTTTTATTCTCTAACTTTCACGTATAACATAACTTCTCACATTAATAAGAAATAATGATGCAATACAAC